AGATAAGCTTCTCAGGAGAGGCCACCACTTATCAATGTAGAGGTAAGAAATGACAAAAACAAACTTCTCAAGGAGATTTCTACTTGTTGTCTGGGTATAAATTCCAAGGAGATATTGTTACAACAACTCTACTGAAGAATAGGTTCTGTCTTCAATGGGAATCTATAAAAGATTTTTCCTGCAAGACACAGTGCAAAATAAATGCATGTTCAAACTAGGTTTGACGACCTAATATGGTTCAAAAGCAACACTTGCTAGGGACCAAAGTTCAATCTTGGAACAAGATAGAAAGAAACGGTCAAACAAGACTCTACCCATTTAGGAATGGACTCAAATAGAGATTTATCTTATCCAAACATGGAAAAGATAGCTGAAGCAACCATCATCAACGAGGATCAAACTCTGTGGGGAATTTAAAATGGGAGGGAAGTTTATGCTTAAGGTTGACTCTCTATTAGAGAGAAAAGATAAACCCAATCACTTGGGGAATAAATGTGAAAGTGAACGACACAAGTAAACACTAGAATGGTAGTAAAAATGCTCAGATGTCATGCATATGTATGAATGCATGTATGCCATGTTTATGGTTATGATGACGAAACAGACAAGGGGAAATAAACATCTCGACAAGGATACCCAACCAACTTCACCAAATTGGAACATCACTGGGAATGAACATGTAGCACAACAGTTCTACTCCAAGGTTTCGACCTTCTCTGGGGAAAAGAGTACTCCACTTGGAGGCATAAAGTCATGACTTCACTATGCATTACCATCATGAGCCTGATTTCCTTGTTGGAAGAGAAAGAACCATGGGGAATTGCCAAGATAAACTGACGTAACAACTTATTGGGGAGCTAGCAAAGGATATCACAAAACAATGTAGTTATGCACTTTAATTGCATAATGATCGTCTCGAACAGGCAACGACTCTGTGGAAAAATAATTTTCAACTCTCATCTACCCCAAATTACATGGTCTATGGGAAGAAGAAATCAAGAGGATTTTACAAAAAAATTGGCATACAAGATGTCTCAATGTCTTCAAATTCTTGGAGAGATTAAGCAAATCTCGACGTAATTGCCTCAGATTAGCTGTATTAGCAAAACAAAGTCCTCAAACTTGTTCTTCAGACTGTGGGAGTAACAACTGGGGAACAAACTTGCCCCTGCTAGCTGGTTGATCTGTGAAGGAGTCACCCTAGACTAACTGACCTTCGAGAGATTTATTAAATCTCGACCTGATTTCCCGTGATTAGCTTAATCTTGAGGTGGCTTGCCTTTCGGCTTAACGGAATCTTCAGGAGTTTTTCATCTTAGCTTGATCAATCCTTTCATTGTAGAAACCTTTTGGGGTTAAATGCTTACTCGCAAATAAAACTGATCGTTTTGAAAATGAAAATTTTAATGCAATGCATATGATAGTTTTGAAATCCAAGTCTCCTCACTAGAAATATATCGATACATATAGTGAATGAATGACTGATCAGAATGTCACTTTGATATCAATATGAATGGTAAGCAAATCCCTTTTTGAGGCATTTTTGACGTGATATTACCGAAGTATGCTTTTGAAACAAACCTGCTTCAATTAGGTCTTTTGAGGGTTGTAATGTGGCTTAGTTCATGGTTTGAGAAAGAAAGGATATAAGGCTCAAAGTTTTGTTTTAACCCACCCTTTCTCCTTGATATTCTTCAGTCCTACGTTCAGCTAACTTGACACATGCACCTAGAGTTGGGCGGTGTAAGAGTAAAGATGACGATTCAAGATTTTTGAATTGGTAGTCACCTTATTTTGTCTTTGGGATGGATGTTAGTGACCCTTCGATTTTTGACATGGTGGTCGCTGAATCTTGAATGAGAACTTGAGGACCTTTTTCGATTTTTCTTATTTTTCATCCCTAATTTTTGCATGGGCTGCTTTTATTTTTTGAGTCCATCAGAGTTGCCTTGATTTTGCCTAAGTCTCCTATTTGGGTGTTTGACTTAGCAGACTTTCAACTCTTTTTTTTTAAAATTTTGAAAGGTTTTTGACTGTCAAGCTATTGGTCATAGGAATAACCGACATATATGTAGAATCAGATTAAATGAACACTACCCTACCCTAGGTTAAGTGTACGAGTTTAAAAATCTGAAAGAAACTCCTACTTCTAGGCTCGAAGTGGTTAGCTAGGGACTAAATCCTTATCTCTCTAGTGTTTGGGGGATCGAAAACAATGTTTATCCATCATCAGCAAAGTGTTATTCAAAAGCATACTATCAGAGGTTTTTGTGTCTTTCGATTTCATCATCCTCCCTTGTATTTTGCTTAAACAAATGTTTGACATTAAAAAGCATGAGTGAACACGAATGGATTTAATCAAAAGATACATATTCATTCCATTAATAAAACCATGTTTTAACAATAATGTCTCAAAACAAATAGCACTTAACAGAAAATAAACTACAAAATTCAAAGTAAGCTGGAGAACATGGTTTCAATATCCTCATCATCCTTCATTTTAAATAAGTCATATTTTTGTACCAACAAGTTAGCTTTTGCTTCTCTAACTTGCTGATTTCCTTTATAGGTAGAGCACAATGATTCAACGATAGTCTTCGCAGAAGACTTCTCAATGATATTCAGATACTCAGCATGTGGTAAAGCATCTACTAGAATATCTCTGACTCTATGATTTTTTCTATAGATTTTCACAATGTTTGTATAGAATTAAATAAATAAGATATTTATGTATTCTTAGATCAATTTGGTATTCGATTTACTAATAATTTTGTAAAAAAGATTGAAGAATACATAACATCACTGTTAGATGGGAATAAAAAATGTTACTTAGTATTATTTATCCATAAGTGAGTAATTTTGAAATTGTGGTTTCTCTATTATATATAGTTAGTTTCCATGTTTAACAAAATGCTAATTATATATGTTTGTGTTCATTCATTGAATATTTTCAATTTACCATCATATCTCTTCGGACGAATATGGTAACTACATTGTGTTCTTTACACCATCCACTTGAGCCTAAGATGAAATAATTTTTTTACTAGGAAACCCTATGTTTATGAGACTTTTAATTATAATTTCTTTGACTTTGTAATTAGTTTAGCGTGTAATATTTTTAAATCATTTTCAATATACAAGGTTGTAGAGCGACACTATATTATGAACAATTCTAATAAAAGCTCACATTTTGTACGCTCAAGATAAGTAGATTTCTTGTGACATTATATATATATATATATATATATATATATATATATATATATATATATATATATATATATATATATATATATATATATATATATATATATATATATATATATATATATATATATATATATATATATATATATATATATATATATATATATATATATATATATATATATATATATATATATATATATATATATATATATATATATATATATATATATATATATATATATATATATATATATATATATATATATATATATATATATATATATATATATATATATATATATATATATATATATATATATATATATATATAATGTCACAAGATAAGTAGATTTCTTGTGACATTATATATATATATATATATATATATATATATATATATATATATATATATATATATATATATATATATATATATATGTGTGTGTGTGCGCGCGCGCGCGTGAGCGTCTGTGCGTGCGTGCACGCCTATGTGTGTGTGTGTGTGTGTGCGCATTTGTGCGTGCGTGTGTGCGTGTAGACGTGGAGACAAGTAGAGGGATACGAACGTGGATATTATGTAATGAAATATATGTTAAACGTTGTTTCTGTCGACATTGTTGATTCTTGGGACCATGTATATATTATGTCATGAAATGTTTACAATAATATGTTTTTAGCTTAAGATTATTATTATATTTCATATCATGTGATATTCAATTTTCTTCTGTTTTTTTAGATGTTTAACAACATGATACCTTTCTCCCGTGATAATTTAAATGACATCCGTGAATGTTGGACTTTTATTTTCAATGCACTACTTGCAAAGGGAAAGGATGCTAATGTATGATTTTGCCTTTGATGTTTGTAAATATATTATTTTTGCTTAATTTGATGTTCGTAATATATGACAATGGTATATACATATTTATTTACAAATAATATTTTTAGCTTTGATGTAAAAAAATATGTAGGTAATATATGTATAAAATACACTTAAAAAAATAGGTTTGAAATATATGAAAAATAAAATAAAATAAAAAAAAACAAAGTATTTCACCAAAGTTATTTACAGTAAACGTTATTATAAGTAGTGCGTCAATTAATTAGATATCATACAATCACTGAGTTTCAAATTCATGACCTTTATGTATATTTCACAACGATTATTTATTCTAACCGTTGTGATATATAGTGCGCTATCTAATTTATCACAACATACACATCCGTGATAGAAAATAATATAATTACAACCACACTATATCTCACAAATCGTGATGGTACCCATTTTTCTAACATTCGAAAAAAATGAATTTTTCATGATAGGGCCATCACTTATTTACATATCATTCCGGTTGAAATTTTGCTTGTCCGACACATGCAAGATCACAAACATTACATTTTTTTGCAGGTAGAGCTCAAAAATTCTCAAACAAGATTGATGTAAAGTGATACTTTCTTCAGCAAAGAAATTTCTCCACATGAAAATAGGCCCTTTAAATTTGACAAGAAAATATGAACAATCTATGTTGGTGAAAAGTAAAAACAACCAAAACGAATATTAGTTAGTCACCACCATAAAAATGGTCAAAAAGCGGCGCAGGTTGTACAGGATTCTTGAAAATTTGGATTTTAGTGTTGGTGGAACAACGTTACCAATAGTCATCGTTAACACGTATTTGACTTCACCATTTTCCCTTAAAACACACTTTCCCAAAACATCCTACATTTGAACATAACATCGTTAGAAAAAAAAACAACACACCAATAACATCACAATCCACAACATTGTAATGGCCAGAATTAGAACCTATAACAACGTAGTTCTTCTGTACTCTAACCTTATGATCTTCTTCATTCCTCTTGTCATCTCCCTCAGAAACCTCACTCCAGACAAATCCATCCACTACAACGACTACCTAGTTTCCGAAACCGGAAAATTCGAAGCCGGGTTCTCCAACATAGAGAATTCACAAAACATATACTTTTGTACATGGTACAAGAATCTAAACCCAAGAACAATTGTTTGGGTGGCCAATAGAGATACACCACTGCAAAACTCAACAGGAAAATTCAAACTCAAACTCACTGATACAGGAAATCCAGTCATAGTTGATGGCTCGGAGAACACAATTTGGATCTCTAATGCATCAACAGTTGTAGAGAATCCTTTTTTATTGCTCTTGGACACCGGAAACATCGTCGTACGAAACGGAAGTGTTAATGAGGTTTGGTGGCAAAGCTTTGATTATCCTGGTGACACTTTACTACCTGGGATGATACTTCGAACGGATAGAATCAATGGAGCGCATAACTCTTTGACTTCATGGAAAAACTCAGGTGACCCTGCAAGAGGTGAGTTCTCGTATTATATAGATTCTAATGGTTTTCCGCAACTTTTTATTTCGAAGGGAACGGTATTAGTTTATAGACTAGGGTCATGGAATGGTTTTTTCTTCAGTGGGATTCCTTGGGAAACACTCTATAGTTATTTCAATTTTTCTTTTGAGTTAACTGAGAAACAAGTTCGATTTAAATATGAACTGTTAAACGACACGATTGTTTCGCGATACCTTATCACTCCGACCGGCTTCGTGCAACGTTACATTTGGTTATATCAGACAGAAACTTGGCAACTTTTCCTTGCTGGTCCTGCGGACCAGTGTGATAATTACAACATCTGTGGTGTAAATTCTAACTGTAACGCGGGGAACACGGAGATATGCAAATGTCTCATTGGTTTCGCACCTAAATCATCGAATGATACTGAAGGGTGTATTAGGAAGGTGAAGTTGGATTGTGATGATAGAGACGAATTTGATAAGTATACAAATATGAAGTTGCCAGACACGTCTTCGTCATGGTTTGATGAGAAAATGAATCTTGTGGAATGTGAGAAACAATGTCGGAAAAACTGTACCTGCGTCGCTTATGCAAGTTTAGATATTAAAAATGGTGAAAGTGGATGCATCATTTGGTTCAATAACATCATTGACATGAGGACAGGAAGCTCTTCTGGGCAAGAGATTTACATAAGAGTGGCTGCTTCAGAATTAGGTACTTTTTTACTTGTTCTTTTTAGTATTCATAGAATCATAAATATAAATATTTTTAGTCTTTAGGTGTTCTCTTGATATCTCGTGTAATCCAACGAATAACACAAAAGAAAATCATAGCAGGTACTTCAACGAATAACAGAAAGAAGAAAATGATAGCAGGTATTTTAGTAGGAATCGGAGTCCTCTTCTTGAGTATTATGACGGTTGGATATTTCATCTTTCTAAAGAGGAAAAAACTTCAGAAGTCAGGTGAATTTCAAGATTATTTTCTTTTCTGCTTTACTTTGAGTTTCTTATGAAGTATTCGATCCCTTGTTATATATATATATGGTAAACAATTTAACATTTCAGGTAGGGACCCAACAATAAACCATGAAGATAACATGAATCATGAGAAAGAAAGTATTGACATATCGACTTTTGATTTTTCTACCATAGCTAATGCCACTGACAACTTCTCCCCTATTAACAAACTAGGAGAAGGTGGATATGGGCCTGTTTACAAGGTGACATGATTAGAACTTCTTAAATTATTCTTATGATAATGATTAATCCACTATCTCTATGAATATGATTTTTACATTTCTAGTTAATGAATCATCTACAGGGTGTACTAGCAAATGGTAGAGAGATTGCCGTCAAGCGACTTTCGATTAAATCTGTACAAGGACCACAGGAATTTCAAAATGAAGTTATATTGATTGCAAATCTTCAGCATAGGAATCTTGTGAAACTCATTGGTTGCTGTATTCATAATGATGAAAGAATATTGATTTATGAATACATGCCTAACAGAAGTGTATTCATAATGATGAAAGAATATTGATTTATGAATACATGCCTAACAGAAGTTTGGACAACTTTATTTTCGGTACGAATTTTTCTTTTCTTCTGTAGATTCATATAAGATCTTGTTCATACTAACTTATGTGGAATCTGTCAGATCAAACTAGAAGTAAAGTATTGGATTGGAACACACGTTTTAATATTATAAGCGGAATTGCACGAGGACTTCTGTATCTTCACCAAGATTCTAGAATAAGGATCATCCATCGAGATCTAAAAACCAGTAATATTCTTCTTGATAATGATATGAACCCAAAAATATCAGACTTTGGACTTGCTAGAGCTTTTGGCGGAGATCATGATGAGGCCAACACAGTAAGAGTAGTCGGAACTCAGTAAGAAATTCAAAACTTGAATGAACTAGTTTATGAAGTTTGTTACATTTATTTTTCCTTAGTTTACTTTTTTTTAATATGTTGCAGTGGTTACATGCCTCCGGAGTATGCTGTATATGGATCTTTTTCAGTGAAGTCTGATGTCTTCAGTTTCGGTGTTATTGTTCTAGAAATCGTCAGTGGGAGGAAGAGCCGCGAATTTTTCAACCCAGAACATAATCTTAACCTTATTGGATATGTAAGAACACCTAAATGGTTTCCTATAATTTACCTTTGTCTACTAATCATAGGTTATGTGCACTAAGCTTCATTTTTTTACCTAAGTCCATAATTGATATCTATGTTTGTTTCTCAGGCTTGGAGACTTTGGAGTGAGGATAAACAATTGGAGTTGATAGACGAGTCTCTTAAAGGTTCAATTATAATGGATGAGGCATTAAAATATATTCACATTGGGTTGTTATGTGTGCAAGATAGAGCAGATGATAGGCCTGAAATGTCATCTGTTGTTCTAATGATGAATGGGGAGAGATCATTACCTAATCCAAGGCAGCCCGGGTTTTATCCGCACGAAGTTGTGTCTTACTCAAGCAAACAAGAATTGTCATCCACAAATGAAATTTCGATTTCACTGTTACACCCAAGATAATCATCAAATGTTTATGTTCCAGTGTTAGTTCAATGGAAAGAGTTTAATTTTGATCTTTAAGGTACCGAGTTCAAGTTTTTTCCGAGATAGTTATAAAATGATAGTTAGTGTTATTGAACTTGTAACTTGTAGCACAAGTCATATTTCAAATTATCTATGAAACATGTATCTTGCAATACAAGTAACTGCTTTGAATCGTGCCATTTACATGACTTATTATTGTAGGTTGTTAGTTTTGTGCTGTTAGAGTTAGTTAAGACATTCACATACTATAAAAGGTAGCTTGTAACTAACTTGGAAATCATCAATTTCATTTCAATCAATTGGAGTTTGTTAGATCTTCGTTACCGTTCTTCTACCTGAAGAACTTCGTTAAGTGTCACTTCAATTAATTAGTTTTAAAAATTGGTTAAAATATTTTTTATTTTTTGTAGAGTCAATATCTATACGCTAGTTTCGTAAACATGAGCAATTGATTTCCTCATGTTTTCATATCCATCTTTATATTGATATGTCAGATATGTAAATTTTTGAAAAGTTCATTATTGTGACAAACGATATCAATTAACAAATATTTGATTGTAAAACGGGGTTTTTTTAGTGAACAATGAAACGGTTAAAACAAAGAGAGAGAAGAAAGAAGGAGAATATAATTTTTTGAGCAACTGTTTTCTATTCACTTTCACATTTAGGGTTTATAAATGATTACAAATGAATAACACAATTGACATCTCTCAACAATCTGAGAGATTTTGCCTATTTATAGACTAACTAGCTTACTTACATTACAAGTTGTTGCTGTGAGAATATGATATCAAATTATTGATTAATTTGAATCACAATCTTGATTCACAACCGGTCTTTGATTTATCCGAAGGAAAGGTTAAAGAAGGAAAAACCTATTTTGCATCGTAAACACAATGCGGGGAGAGATCTAAGGTTCAGAGGTTGGTTAAGCTTAGGGAAGATATTAGCATCCTAAACTTCTGTAGTACTCTACAGGAACCTCTTATTTTAAAATGTGCTATTGCTAAGGTTATCTGCTTAAAGGTAATGCTAAGGGTAAAGGTAAAGAGAAGGACCTAAGGGGTTAGTCCTATGTTTACTCGCCAAGACTCGCATCTTGTGCCTACGTATCCGAGGTAGGGGATGAAATCAAAGTAATTGTAGTTCCCCTCACAGAAGGAGGAAAAGGAACTTCTTGACTGTCACTACGCCAGAAATGACTTTTAGCAGCAAAACAAAAAAATAGCATACCTAAGACAACGCTTGTTAAAAAAGCGCTGCTAAAGGGGGGGGTCTACGAAAGCGCTTTTAAAAAAGCGCTGCTAAAGGGGGTCATAAGGCAGACCTATAGCAGCGCTTTTAAAAGCGCTGCTAAATGCCAAAAAAAGCGCTGCTAAAGGGGGTCCTAAGGCATACCTATAACAGCGCTTCTAAAAGCGCTGCTAAATGCCAAAAAAAGCGTTGCTAAAGGGGGTCCTAAGGCAGACCTATAGCAGCGCTTTTAAAAGCGCTGCTAAATGCCAAAAAAAGCGCTGCTATAGGTTTAAGTAGCATAAATTTAAAAAATTCCAATATTTTCACAGAATCAGAACAGTCTTCTTCTTTCTTATTTCCACTCGCGAACGTTGCCCTATTCAGAATTAGAACAGTCACCGTCGACGCATTCCGTCCGCGCCTCCGTCCGACAGCCTCCGTCCGTCGTCTTTCCTCCGGTCATTCCGTCGTCACCTCATTCTGCCGCCGTCCGTCCATTGTTACGGTATTTGAAGTTTTTCATTTTGCATTTTTCTGGATTAATGTCTTAGTATTTCATTTTTTTGGATTATATGATGTTAGTGTTACTTCTTTTCTGAGTTTTTGACTTGTTTTTGTTGATACCGTTGATGAAAATGACTCGTTTGATATTGGCTTGAGTTTTGTATACAAGGTGTTTGTTGAAATGCCACAATGAATTTACTTATGTTAACTTTCATTATATCTAGCCGTATACAAGGTGTTTGCTGAAATGCCACACCTTATATGAGTTCTTTTTACTAATAATTTTTATAAGGGAAATACTGCACATATATTCAATGATTTTTTAGATTATGTTGCTTTAGAAACTTCACACATATATCAGAGACTGTTTTTTAAAATCTTAATAATTAATACTTATGATATAACTATTATTCTATAAACATATAACATTTCACCCTTATATATTTTTCAGGTTCCAGTTTACAAAAGTCATCCTAATTATTTATCACTGTCAGCTTGGATGTGTTTCATTTCAACATTACAATCAGCTGTAGTGACAATATTCTTGGAGCCAAACCTTAATGCATGGAAGATTAATTCTCTACTTCAATTTGGTTCCACTTTATATGCGGTAATTTTTCATGATGATACACACCAATATTTATACATCATAATCCTAGATAATTTGTAATAAATATATTTTGTAGGGAATTATGGGATCAGCGGTTATGTTTTGTCTTCAAGCATGGTGCATAACACAGAGAGGACCTCTTTTCTCTGCATTGTTTAGCCCTCTTGTGACAGTGATTGTGACTGTATTGGCTGCTTTGGTACTTCATGAGGAAATATATATTGGAAGGTAATGATAATGAAGATTAATTCTATAAATACATATTTAATTACTAATTTGATTAGCAGAAACTTCAAATAATGATAAGAACTGAAAATTTCATAGAAATCTAGTACTTAATGATCTACATGGGTCTGTTCAAGTGTATTGTTACTTATCTATTATTGTTTTTGCTTGTGCTGTTGTTAAGATGAATCATGTTCTATTGAATTAAGCTTGGAAGACATTCAATTGAATAATGATACAAAGCTTGAAGAAAACCGTGTATTTGTGGCTGATAGTGAACTCCATGCAGTCTCATACAGAATTCAATAGTCAAGTAAAGATTGTTAAGTTTATTTCTTCCTAATGTGACATCTGATATTGTATCTATTTGTAAAGTTATCAGATTTGTAATTATATGTGAATTGATTGTATATGTGATTTTGTTCTGAGGATCGGACTGTGTTGTAATATATTTAAACAGGTTTATGTGTATAATATTTCATAGTGATGAATTATAATGTATACTTTAGTTATTGTGTATAATATTGCAAATTGATGAATACACAAAAATAAGGCCAAAATAATTGTTATATATAAGGCCAAACTGTTGAACTAAAGACCTGAATTATAAGCAGGGAATGTATTTGTTATAAGCAGGTTTATTGAAAAATATATAAAAAATGTGATTATTTTTATAAAAAAAAATTCAAAATCGTGAAGAATAGACAGCGTTTTTAAAAAAAGCGCTGCTAAAGGGGCAAAAAGAGGCATAAAAAAGCGCTGTTATAGGTTGGAAAATGAGGGTCTAAGAAAACGCTTTAAAAAAACGCTACTAAAGGGGGGTCTAAGACAGCGCTTTAAAAAAGCGCTGCTAAAGGGGGGTCTAAGAAAGCGCTTTTAAAAAGCGCTGCTAAAGGGGGGAGATGAAGGGGGATTAGGCAGCGGTTATGAAAGCGCTGCTATAGGGTGAAAAAAGCGCTGCTAAAGGCCACAAAAAAAAGCGCTGCTAAAGGCAAAAAAAAAAAGCGCTGTCTTTACCTTTAGCAGCGCCACTTTAGGTAGCGCTTTTAAGCGCTGCTAAAGGCAAAAAAAAGCGCTGCTAAAGGTCTTTTTTGGCATAGTGTGTGGTCAAGGTTCCAAGGGAAAGTAAACGTTCATATGGAAGCGTTTATATGAAATGCGGCGACTCCGATTTCTACGTTGTAAAGTTGAATTGAAAAAGGTGTAAGTAGGTATTTCACGGTGGGAACGTACATGGAGTGCGATGACTCCTGATCCTAAGGTTAGGAAAAGGGTAAAGGTGTGGGCGTGTCCACGGCGGGATGCCTAAGTACGAGTACGGCGACTCGGATCTTAAGGCTAGGATGGGCGAGGTAAAGGCATTGACACGGGGTCAAACGGGGTAACCTTTCCTTCAGAGGGGGATAAGGGGTAAACTGAAAAATAATTGAAAATGTAAAATGATAAACAAGTGATGAGATAGATATGATGGCAATATGAATATGGATATGTAAGCATGATTGGAGATTAAATGTAAATGGATAAATGGAGAGTGAAGTTAGAAGTGGATTATGATTAAGTGGTGAATTGGAGTTAAATTGAGAAAATTAGAAATCAAATGTTTTTAATTGTTTTATAAGTTATTTTGAAATTAATTAACTTAAAGGACTTCATATTAATAAAAGTTTTTGTTTATTTTTGAGAAAAAGATTAAGTATAAATTAGGAGAAAATTAATTAAAATGCTAAGTTATTTAAAAAATGTTAAATTAAATAGAATAATAATAAAAAAAATTTCGAATTTTCTTTTATATTAGTTTTGAATAAATATTTTTGGATTTTTAATTTATTAAGAAGAAAGAAAATAAAATATCTATATTTAAACATTTTTTTATTGAAATTATTAATTCTAAACTTTGTTTATTAAAAAAACATAAATTAAAAGTTAAAAGCAAATAAATATTTTTTAATACCTTTTTTTTTTAATTCAAAATTCGTTTTTATTTTTTTTATTAAGTTTTCATATTTTTATTAATTAATTAATTAGTAGGTTAGTAGTTAGTGTATTATTTATTTAACTTACATATTACATAAAAAAGAAATTAAAAAACTGAAAAACAAATAAATAAATGGGTTGGGCTTGGGTCATAACCTCCCAGGACCCAAACCCGGTCGGTTATGAAAAGTAAGGGGGAGGGTCTTGAAACCCTAGCCCCCAAACCCTCAAACGGCGCCTTGTTCTTTTCCTCTTCTCTCTCTGATTTTTCTCTCACGAGTTCTCTCTTCTTCTCTGCGGTGCTTCCTCCTCTTCTTCTTCAGATGTTTTACCTTTTCCTTTTCTCTTCTTAGCCTGAAATGAAATAAAGTAACACAATACCAAACAACAGTTTAAAATGAAATTAAAATCTATACAAAGCACGACG